AAAAGTTCCACCACCTCCCAAGAGCTCCATGAGCTTTGGGGGGCATTCCAAATCCAATCTGTGGCAGAAGTGAATTACTAAGCATAGCACAAGCTAAAGGAGCGGGGAGAAATTAAGCCCCATCTCCTTGAGAAGCAACTATCTATATAATTGTTTTGTACAGGAGATAGAGCCCCCCTTTTTTTTTTTTTTGAGACAGGGTCTCACTATGTAGTTGAGACTGACCTGGAACTCACTATGTAACCCAAGCTGGTTTCGAACTCACCACGATCCTCCTGCCTCAGCCTCCTGAGTGCTGGGATTACAGGAATGCACCACCACGCCCGGCTTTAGAGCTCCATTTTTTTTTATTAATTTGATCATTAATCTGTGTCAGTATGGATGTATGAGTATTTGTTTTATACTCTGAGTAATATAATAGTGTATTTTTGTTATTGTTGTCATTTATCATATTCCAGCTCTGTCTGTTGGGAATTCTGTCAGGTTGGTTTCTTTGTCTTTTTGACATGACCTCATCCTCCTTTCTTCTTAAAAAAAAAAACAAAGGAAAACACTTCTATCACATTTTTCAGTATTCCAGGATCATCTTGCATACTCCCTACCCCAGCTCTGGAGGCATCTATTTACCTACGAAGCTGTGGTTCCTTCTATTTAGAGAATGGTATTAGACCCTAAGACCTGGATGGTAGTTAAGCATGTTGCTGCTGAAGTGTTGTTTCTCTCAGGCTCTCTCAGCATACAGGGCAAATAATTATTAAATTTTTAATCTTTGTATAGCAAATATTTTAAAAACTATGATAAAATATCAGACATAAATAATCTCCATTAGTAATAGAGTCTAAAGCCAACAAGTTACAATTGCTATTTCATTCCCTTGAATACAGTTTCTAAACATTGTTCCTTGCCCAATCTGCTTTTTCATTTTAGTACTTATACTTCGATTATAAATGCTCTAATTTCTTAAAACATTTGTTTATTCTTGCTGTAGGTGGCCAAACCCCAGGTGATCATATAGATAACAACAACAAATGTGCTAGACTTTTTTTTCCAAATCCACCAGATTGACTTTGTAAAGAGGGTTTATAGTTGCTAAATTACAACATGCTTTCTATTAAGGCCTATTAAATTAGTTCCCTAAAGAGAGCCCCTATCTGCGACCTTCCCGACATTGACCCTTCTCAGCTCGAAGCAGTTAAATAAAAACTACACCCATTCTCCCCTAACCACAGCTGAAAATATATCTTTGAAAGAAAAAATATCATTAACAGCTAAGTGAATTAGATACATTATAGGTCCTTATAATGTGTCCATTGGATAAGCCACAGGGACAAGCCATTGTTAGGTGTGCTCACCTTTCCCTAAAAGCACAATTACATAAACAAAAAAAGGGAGAGTACAGCTACCCTCACAAGCTCAATTATATTTTATTTTCTTTTATTGCTTTTATTTTAAAATTTTTAAATCCACTTGTAGCAGGTAAATATAATCCATCAAAACTCCATTGAAATATAGATCTACATACATGTCCTAGACACTAGTGTTGTCAAAGGATGTCCTAACTAAAAGGTAAATGGCTCAATATAATAATATAGGGGCCAAGGTATGTTTATATTTTAAAAAGAAAATAAAAAGATGCTATAGTCATCTTCTGTACTGGGCAGGAGACTGCCTACAGCAGAGGTTTCCGGTAACATTTCAGGGGTTCTCAATAAATTTGTTTTTAATTTTTGTGGTAGGTTCTTGCTAAGTTTTCCAGGTCAGCCTTGAGCTTGCAATACTCCCATCCCAGCCTCCCAAATAGCTAGAATTACGGGTTTGTGCCACTATTCCCAGCTTACGTGCCTAGCTTTTTGAGAAAAGAGCAGGCTCGTATTCACAGCACCTGTGCCAGCTTGCATTTCCACCAGAAATTTAATTTTCAGCAATGAGAAAACATGGCAGATTCCAAAAAGTATAAATAATTATCTCTAATACCACAACTTAGAGATAACCAGTGATAATATTTTAGTATATTTAAATTAACTTTAGGCATTTATATTTTAAGAGCCTACATAATTATGCAATAAGACTGGAAAAAAAGAATCATGCTGCATATCAAGTACCTCTTCCACATGTATTCATGGTACATAAAGGTTTTAATGTGTGGATACCATTTAAACAAATCTATTGCACATTCAGGGTATGCCTGTTTTATTTATTAGTATGAATAACAACAGGAAATAGATGTATATGTTGTTAGAATTTCTAATAATTTACTTAAGGAGGTAGATCCTTTCTAAAATGGAAGCATAAAGCTGAATTCTTTAGGATAAGCATTATCACGGATTTTAAGATGCTTTTACATAGGAACTGGGAGCTGGGTTTGTAGTCATGGATCTAGCACTTCATAACATCAGAAAAAGGCAGTACTTCTGTGAAAGCCTAATAAAATAAGGTGTTTGGATGAAGATTCATTCTGACTCTAATGATCTCTGTACCCGTCACTAATATTTCTGAGGCAGTGTAACTCGGGAATTACTTACTTCCTCATTTATTTCTTCATATTCTGACAGTATGAATTATGATCATCTTCAGTGGCACCAGAATGGCACAGTGACTAAGTTCTATACATGAAATTTGAAATTACAAGTGACTATACCCCCAGAGAAGTATATTAAGAATTCTTTTTCCTGATATGTTTCCCTCCAAATCTGTTTATCAGGTGGATCAGTAAATATTGTCTCCTCTAGGTGATACCAAACATTTAAAATACTGCAGCGCAAGGCAATCATCTGGCCCACAGGGGAAAACTGCTTGGCTATGCACAATCAGCTAGTGACTGCAATGTAGAGGAAGCCACGTGAACACTGGGTTAATACTATAACTGTGTGACGGTTTTTATTTTTATTTTCATTGGCATAGTTATTGTTTCCTTGCTTTTTTATGTGATTTGGGTCATCTTGGTTGTTTCTTGTTTGTTTGCTTGCTGGCTTCTTATCTTTTCTTCTGGTTCTTATTTCTTTATTGGTATTGTACGGTTATTATACAGTGCTTCATCTCTTCTATTTTTGACTCTCTTCCCTCCCTATTCTTCTTCTCCCTTCCTCATTATCTTGCCTCCTTGCCTTCTCCCTGATCATCACCACTAGAATAAAAATTAACCAATGCTCCAAATTAAACAGTACCATTTAAGGGATGGCATAGTAATCCTTGACAAAGTTGAGCTTAGAGGATCCAAACAAAACTATCTACAAATATATTAACAAGTTCTAACAGTCTCACAGTCCTTCTTGATCCCTGAACACACTCCCTCCCCTCTGCTTACCTCCCCCTGCTCATACAAATACTCTCTTAAACTCCCTCAACATTAGCCCTTTGCCCCAGCTTTATAGTTCAAAGTCTGGCCTCCAGTCAGTTCTTCACCAATTGACATCTATTTTACCTTCCTCTCTTTCTGCTGACATGCCCCCTCTCATTTCCCCTTATTTTCTCCTTCCCTCCACCCTCCATATTCCAGAGGAACCACAAGTAGCAGTATAATACAGTTTGTAAGGGATATTGACAAAAGGGTGGAACTATCAAAATAAGTGGGTTTTTTGTTTGTTTGTTTGTTTGTTTGTTTTTGGTTGTTTTTTTTGTTGGTGGTGGTGATTTTTTTTTTGATACCGGGGATTGAACTCGGTCCTTGCGCTTACAGGGCAGGCCACCAAACCGCTGAGCTAAATCCCCAGCCAAAATAAGTTTTAATGTTTATAATTGATGTATGGTTGGACCAGTTGATGCCATTACACCAGTAAAAATTACAACACAGTGAGAGGGTTCAACCTAAATTAAATAGGTTGAAGTGGTGAACAATGCATCTTGACAAATAAAGCCAAGAATCAATCAATGGAAAACAGAACCCGACTAAAGAAATATTCATATCAACAACATACTCTCTCTCTTCACTCTATTTGAGTTCAACTTTCAGGACACACGCACACACACACATACACACACAAGAGGGAAGAATGTGAAAACACAAGGCAACACAATGCCATGAAAAACTCCCAATTCTGCAAACACAGATGCAAGGGGCACAGGTGAAGAGGAAAGCAAAAACGGGATAGCCGAGCTGTGTGAGGTGATTACAGAGGAAGCCAAGACACTCACTAATTTCAATGACAGCATAACCCAAAATAGTGGAACTATCAAACAAACTGACCAGTAGTGTTTGGGGAGAAACAAAACATTGGAAGAGCTGATCAAAACAATTTAAAACACTAATGATAAATGTACAAAAAAAAAAAAAAGATGCCATGAAAAGGTGCCAGACAAATTCCCGAGATAGATGATTCTATTGAATTTATAAACTACACAAATGACCAGTGTGATGACAGTTTCAGAAGCTGAGGACAAAATAGAAATGCATGGAGTTTTACTTAGAGAAGCCTTTAAAATAATAAGAGAGCAAGAAAAATTCTTCCAACAGCTACTATATGATGCTAAGAATACTAACTGAAGGTTAATTGAAGTTAGAAATTAGAGGACAGCACACATGGAATGAAAGTCTATTTTCAAAAATTTTAGAAAAATTTCAAAGTATGGGGAACAAAGTCAAGCAGATAACAGGGCTTACAGAAATCCAGATAACTTCAATGTAAAATGAAGTTCCCCACAATATATCATAGAATCCCAGAGGACAAACACAAAGACAGAATCTTAAAATTTGTCAGAGGAAAAAAAACAAACAAACAACATGTATAATGTTAAACCCATTAGAATTACAGCAGACTATTCAACACAAACTTTAGAAGCCAGGAAAGCTTCCGGTGAAGTGTTCCAATCCCTGAAAGAACACAACTTCCAAGCCAGACTAATATATCGTGGAGAACTACATCAAAATTGATAGAGAAATTGAGTTGGTGGCCACGCACTATACACTTAGAGTGGGGAGAGTGGTGGTGGCAACTGGAAGCGGAACACCTTGGGGGGAGGAGAGGCCCAGAGGGGAGGCAGTGGCCCCACAGCACCAAGCCATGATGAGTGAGCACAGGGCTCATTGCCAGAGGCTGCTTTTGGTGAGAGTGAAGGCCTCGGTGAATCTGATGCTTGTGGGAAAGGAAGTCATCTTTGTTCTGACACAAGCCACGGAACTATTTGTGATGGCCATTGAGAAAGATGCCTGCTGCTGCACTCACCAAGGAAAGAGGAAAACCCTCTAGAGGGAAGATTTGGACAATGCAATAGAAGCTATGGATGAATTTGCTTTTCTGGAAAGTACTTTGGATTAATTGCTGAGCTGGGCAGTTTTGTGAGTCTTCTCTGCATCTCTCAGCTCACCCCTCTCTGCAGGTCTCAGCTTTGAAGAACAGAGTGTCTGCACATATATACACTCTTCCTGGTCTAGCTTTACCTGAGCTTGGATAAGCAAATATCTCATCTGATAGCTTGTCTCTATAAGGTCCTCCACTTGTGCCTGTCTTGTACTTCAGGCCTGGATGCAGCTGCTGCTGCTTGTGGCAAAGATGAAGAAATTGCTCTGCATAGGTGGCTTAATGAACAATGAGGACCAGAATAAAGGTCTCTGATCAGTTTCAGAACAAATATTTTCAATTAAAAAAGAAAAAAATGATGGAGGAATAAGGACATTCCACAACAAAGAACACTTTAAAAAGTTCATAAACACCAAACCAGCACGCCAAAAAATACTCAAGAATATCCTGAAGAGAGACAAGAAAGCCAAGAAGTCAGATGGAATGAATATTTCAAGCAAGGTGGTCAGTTAACACATTCACAGCTGAGTGATAATTTATGTGTCACTGCCAGGTGGCTGTAATTTGAATTCAATCAGCTGACATTAACTAACCACTGGGGAATCATGGTACCCGATGAGACACTTTAGCATGTACCACCATTGGTTCAAGGCAGTGGAAACATGTTAAACTAAAGGTAAAAAATAAGTCAACAACAGAAAAAGAACACAGTGATAAGAATAAGTCAATACTGGGCCAGGGATTTAGCTCAGCGGTTTGGTGGCCTGCCTAAGGACCCCAGTTCAATCCCCAGTACCAAAAAAAAGGATAAGTCAATACCTTTCAGTAATAACTCTGAATGTAAATGGCCTCAACTCCTCAATTAAAAGGCACACATTGGCAGACTGGATCAAAATACAGAAACTAATGGACTATTATATTCAAGAGATCATCTAATCCAAACTAAATCTCAAAGGGTGGATATATATATATATATATATAGATAGATAGATAGATAGATGATAGATAGATAGATAGATAGAAATGTCAATTTATCATTATTTGCAGATGGCATGATTCCTTACGCAGATCGAAAAAATTTCACCAAATGACTTCTAGAATTAATAATCAAATTCATCAATTCAGCAGGATACAAAATAAACACAAAAACCAATAACATCCCTACACACCAATAACAAACCCCTAAAACTTAGGAAACAATACCATTGACAAAAGCATCAAGAAAGCTGGGCATGGTGGCACACGCCTGTAATTCCAGCACTCGGGAGGCTGAGGCAGGAGGATCGCTGAGGCAGGAGGATCACTGTGAGTTCGAGACCAGCCTGGGCTACATAGTGAGTTCCAGGTCACTCTCAACTACATAGTGAGACCCTGTCTCAAAAGACCAAAAAAAAGAAAGAAAAGAAAAGAAAGAAAAATCAAATACTTGAGAGTTAACCTAACCAAGGAAGTGAAAGACCATTACAATGAACACTACAATACTCTGAAGAAGGAGATGGATGAGGATATTAGAAAATAGAAGGGCGTTCCCTGTTCCCAAATAGGCAGAACCAATGTTTTCAAAATGGCCATATCTCCAAAACTGATAAATAGATTTAATGCACTCTCAATAAAAAATACCAACAGCATTCTTCATGGAACTACAGAAAACCATCCTAAAATATATATAGAACCAGAAAAGATTCAGAATTCCAAAAACAATCCTGGATAACAAGAGCAAAGCAGGAGGCTTCACAATCCTGGACTTCAAGTTCTATTACAAAGCTACAGTGATTAAAAACAGTACAGTACTGGCACACACACACACACACACACAAAAAAAAAACACAAGCAAATTGATCATGGAACAAAGAGAAAGAAGCAGAAATGACCCCCCAGAAATTCAGCTACCCAATCTTTGACAAAGGGGCCAAAAATATATTCTGGAGGAAAGATGGCCTGTTTAGTAAATGATACTGAGAAAACTGACTATATATGTTGAGAAGATTTAATCAAGACCTATATCTCTCAGTATGTACTACACTAAACTCCAAATGGTTCAAAGGTCTAAATATTAAAACAGAAACACTTGACCTGTTGGAAGTTAAATAAGTAAACTTTATGAAATCATAACTTATTAGAAGATAAAATAGGGAAAACTCTTGAAGTCATAGGTGTAGGCAGGACTTTTTGATTAGACTCTCAAGTGCACAAGAAATAACTTCAAGAATCAACCCATGGGATTATGTAAAATTAAAAGGCTTCTGCACAACAAAGGAAACAAAAGAGTGAAGAGACAGTTTGCAGAATGGAAAAAAAAATTTGCCACCTACACCTCAGACAGAGGACTAATATTTAGAATATATAACTAACTACAAAGTAACCAGAAGCCCTCAAATAAAAGACCCAGTGAAAATTAGGCAACTGAAATAAATGGGCACTTCTCAGAAGTACAGATGGTCAATGGATACATAAAAACTGTTTAGCATCTCTAGTCAATAGAGAAATGCAAATTTAAAAAACACTAAAATTCCATTTTACTCCAGCAAGAATGGCAATCTTCAAAAACTCAAATAATAGCAAATCTGGAAAGCTTATGAGTAAAAAGGAACACTTATACAGTGTTGATGGGAATGTAAACTAGTACAATCACTATGGAAACCAGTATGGCGATTCCTCAAAAAACCAAAACTAGATATTCCATTTGACCCAGCTGTGCTGGTTGGCTGAGTCTGTCAACCTAAGTAAGAGAAGCTTAACTAAATTGGTGCAGTAATTCCACACCCCAGGGTGTGGAAGACCCACCTTAGGGTGGCTTGTCACCTGGAAAGTATAAAGGGAAATAAAGGATGGAGCTGCTGCTGTTTCTTTAGAAGATCCCCAGTCTTTGCCTTCACCTTGGATGTCATCTCCTGGCTTTCAGCAAAGTTTCTTTAGCTTCTGGTGCATAACTTTTAGCTTTCTGTCACAGAGCCATCGGCCTCCTGATACAGACTTGCACAGGACACTGCAGTGAGCTCCAGACCTTCAACTGGATTCTTGGGATCTCCATCATACAGACAGACCCTCTGCACTCTTCCACATCTGACTCTGTGGGTGGCCATTGTAAGCCAATCTTGCAAACTATTATATATTCACATATCTTGTACTGTATATGTTTCTTTCTGCTTCTAGGTATCTTCTGGAAAGAGTTAAAGATATCATATTGCAGTTATGCATGCATATCCATGTTTATGGCAGTACAGTTCATAATAGCTAAATCTTTAAAGAAGAATGGATAAAAATGTAGTATTCATACACAATAGAGTACTACTCTAAATAGATAAAAAATAGTAGTCCTATACAACGGAGTACTAATGTACTATAAAAAAGGATAAATTCATGTCATTTGTAAGAAAAAATGGATGCACCTTGAAACCATGTTAAGTGAAACAAATCACACACAGCAACGTAAGTGCTGTGTGGTTTCTCTTATAAGAGAAACTCAAAGTATAAATAATTTATAGAGCAAAATAGAAGAATGATAAAAGAAAAATAGGGAGATCTTTCACAAATGGGAACGAGACAAAAATATGGTTTGTTAGAGGGGCAAAGAAAGAATTATGATGTATCATGTATATGTACCAACTCCCCATGATCAATGTAACCATTCATTGCTAACATGTACTAATAACAAATTAAAATAATAAATACTAGGAAGAAAAATAAATAAAACATTGCAGTATACTATATAGTGTTCATTACCTCGATAGGATGACCAAAACCACAATTTAAAGTTGGGAGAAAAATAAAACATCTAAGATTTTTCACCTTCAGTTGAAGGTGGGAAAAGGAAGAGGAACACTGCAGCCAATGTCGGTGCTTTGTTCACGTTAGTATCAGAACCAAACCGAGATGGAATCAGAGCATGGAAATGAATTATCTTTTTCTGCCGAACAACCAAACAGATTTCAAATGTTAAATTTCAGTGAGCTATGAAACTAATTTATTTGCAAAACAACGTGTTTACTAAAGCAGTACATACCACATCTGAACCCGTTTTATGAACCTGTTGAACATAAGTGAAACTCAACTATTAAAATTATGGCCAAAGCCAGACATGGTGGTGTACATCTGTAATCCTAGCTATTTGGAAGGCTCAAGCAGGAAAATCACTAGTTCAAGGCCAGCCTAGGAAACTTAGTGCAATCCTATTAAAAGCAAACAAACAAAAGTTATCAAGCTGGGGACATAGCTCAGTTGTGGAATGCTTACTTAGCATGTGTGAGGTCCTGGGTTTGATCTCTACCGCCACCAAAAAAGGGAAAGCAAAAATAAAATTACTACTAAAAATAGCTGTGGGAAGTCAGAATCCTGAATCAGAACAATTGTCTCTAAGGTGAGTTTTGGATGAAGCAAAAAAGGACGTATTTGGGTCATAGAAAAAGTCTGTGTGTGGCAAAAGAACCAGTAGTAAACCCTAATGTCGAGAAGCAGTAAGTGCAGACAAGTGCAGAAGAAGCCACAGCTGGGATAGACGCAAGTAGCAATGGGAATGGAAAGAAGCAGAAAGCCATAAAAACCACCGAGAATCAAGTTCAAATAGATACAGAAGAGAATCACTTCACTTCACTTGATTATCATAGATCGAAGGTTGATGTCACCCATAGAATGTTTGAAAGTCAGAGGGCCTTGGAAAGATGAGGTGCTCAACATGTGTTCAATCTAAATTGAGTCTCCTGCAGCATACAGAACAATATGAAACAGGTTAGAGTCACTGAAGACAGATTGGAAAGGATGTGTGACTTCACCGACTTTTGCCTTGACATGAGCATTCACTAAATCAGAAGAATAAACTGTTAGAGGCTCAATTCTGTTAGCCAAGCTTTCATGCATCTCCATTACGGGAAGGATTTATTTGAAGCTTATAAACATTTCCATGAAAACCTTTCACTCTCAGGCATTAGTGGCAAGAGAAGAACATGTTGTTTTTCCCTTTTCTAGGTCCTCTCCTTTAAATCTGATGGGGACTTCTGAAATGATGCTCCATCTACTTCCCC